GAGTGCAGTAGCATGATTGTAGCTCACTGCAGCCTTGAACTCCTGGCCTTAAGTGATCCTCCCATCTTGGCCTCCCAAAATGCTGAGATTACAAGCATAAACCACTGCATCTGGCTTCTCAGTTTTTTAAAAACAAATGTCAGGGACTGTATTTTAAACTTCTTGGTGTTTTCTGTAACATGTAGCTCAGGAATCAAACTCAGTAGGGAATCAGTCAGCTGTCATTGTAAATTTTTTTTTTTTTTTGAGTCAGAGTCTCACTCTGTCCCCCAGGCTGGAGTGCAGTGGCGCTTTCTTGGCTCACTGCAAGCTCCGCTTCCCAGATTCATGCCGTTCTCCTGCCTCAGCCTCCTGAGTAGCTGGGACTACAGTGCTGGCCACCATGCCCAGCTAATTTTTTTGTATTTTTAGTAGAGACAGGGTTTCACCATGTTAGTCAGGATGGTCTCGATCTCCTGACCTCGTGATCCACCCAACTTGGCCTCCCAAAGTGCTGAGATTATAGGCGTGAGCCATCGCGCCCGGCCCATTGTAAATCTTAAACTGGGTGCAGTGGCTCATGCCTGTAATCCCAATGCTTTGGGAGGCCAGGTGAGAGGATCGCTTGAGTCCAGAAGTTCGAGACTAGCCTGGGCAACATAGCAAGACCTCGTCTCTACGAAAAGTTTAAAAATTAGCCAGCTGGGCATGGTGAAGTTTGCCTGTAGTCCCAGACACTCACAGAAGGCTGAACTGGGAGGATCACCTGAGCCCTGGGAGGTTGAGGCTGCAATAAGCCATGATTGTGCCAGTGCACTACAGCATGGGCGACAGAGCAAAATGTTGTCTTAAAATATATATATATTCTGGTGGCTGATGCCTGTAGTCCCAGCACTTTGGGAGGCCAAGGGGTTGGATCTCCTGAAGTCAGGAGTTCGAGACCAGCCTGGCCAATATGGTGAAATCCCATGTCTACTAAAAATACAAAAAATTAGCCGGGCATGGTGATGGGTGCCTGTAATCCCAACTACTCAGGAGACTGAGACAGGAGAATCGCTTGAACTTGGGCGGAGGTTGCAGTGAGCAGAGATCGCACTATTGCACTTCAGCCTGGGCAACAAGAACGAAACTCTGTCTCAAAGAAAAAAAAAGTGTGTGTGTGTGTGTATATATATATATGTGTAATATATACACACATATATAAACACACACACATCTATCTGTTTGTCTATTCTATACCCTAAAGTGTAAAAATCTTACTGCATTCATGTTTTATGTGCCTTCACAGGATGAGCACTTTGATCTGGGAATATAGAACCTAGATCATTCATTATGCATCCAAGCTTCTTTTTCTTAAATTCTCTTTGCCCCCTTACTGACTTGTTTTTGTTTTAGTCCCCTGCCACAAGCTGGAGTCATGAGCGGAGAGCCCATAAGTTGAATTTGACCCTTTAGGAGCTCATGGAGAAATAGAAAGTATCTAGATCTGGATAGCCTATTCAATAATTGTGCCACACATTTTCTTTGTTTCTTTTTAGTAGAGACAGAAACCCTGTCTCTACTAAAAATACATTAGCCAAGTGTGGTGGTGCATGCCTGTAGTCCCAGCTACTCGGGAGGCTGAGGCAGAAGAATTGCTTGAACCCGGTCGGCGGAGGTTGCAGTGAGCCGGGATCGTGCCATTGCACTCCAGCCTGGGTGACAAGAGTGAAACTCTGTCTCAAAACAAAAAACAGTAACTTTGAGATTTCAGGAATGTATTTTGTGCCAAACATTTTCTCAATTCTAAATAGATGTGAAAACTGTTGCTGTCATCTGTGAGTAGTCCAATCAAATAATTTATTCCTAATGACCATTTGGGTCTACAAATCACATATAATACGTACGAATCTGGCTTGGTGGAAGAGTACATCTTTGAGAAATCTTTATAAATCTGGGAAATTGGACTGAGGAATACTTTCTATATCTTCAAATGTTCCTAATTTTGGTCTGGGAATAGGCTTACTTTTTTTTTTCCCCCCTGAGATGGAGTCTCACTCTGTTGCCCCGGCTAGAGTGCAGTAGTACAGTCTCGACTCACTGCAACCTCTGCCTCTTGGGCTCAGGCAATTCTCCTGCCTCAGCCTCCTGAGTAGTTGGGATTACAGGCATGTGCCACCATACCCGGCTAATTTTGTATTTTTTGTGGAAATGGGGCTTCACCATATTGGTCAGTCTGGTCTCGAACTCCTGACCTCAGGTGATCCACCCGCTTCTGCCTCCCAAAGTGTGGGGATTACAGGTGTGAGCCACCATACCCGGCCATGGCTTACTATTAATACCTGTTAATCTACTTTTTTTTTCCTTCCTTTCCCTTTTTTTTTTTTTTTTTTTTTAAAATAGAGTCATGGTCTTGCCATGTTGCCCAGGCTGGTCTTAAACTCCTGGGTTCAAGCGATCCGGCTGCCTTGGCTTCCCAAAGTGCTAGGATTAGAGGCATGAGCCACTGCGCCCAGCCTTACTTTTTCTTAAGATAAGATCTCACTCTGTCTCCCATGCTGGAGTGCAGTGGCATGATATCACTGCAGCCTCGACCTCTTCACTCAAGCGACCCTCCCACCTCAGCCTCCTGGGTAGCTGGGACTATAGGCACAGGTCACTACATGATGAGGTATTGTCCTGTTGCCCAGCCTGGTCTCAAATTCCTGGGCTCAAGCTATCCGCCCTCCTTAGCCTTCCAAAGTACTGAGGCTACAGGCATGAGCCACCATGCCGCCTTAATCTACTTTTTAGGAATGCTTTCCAAAGGCCATTTATGGGTTTGTTGTCTTCCTCTATTGGGTCGTAAGAGACAGATTTACTGTCAATGAGCTTAGAGGCATTCTTGTTCTACACAGTTTTCCATAGGTCTGAAATATTTTCTTAGAGATGGGCTTCCAGTCTACTGAATTACAATTCAGTGACCATTTATTTTTAAGGGCTGTGCTAGGGACTATTGGGTGTAATGAGTTGAACAACAAGTTCTTGTCCTTTAGGACAGAATCAGATGGCTACACAGAGTATATTAAGGCCACAAGAAAAATCCACAGAAAGATTTATGGGGCTTTAAAGGAAAAAATGATCGGTAGCATATTTGATTACAGTTACCAGAGAGACTTTCATGGAAGAGGAAACTTTGGGGTTGAGTATGGAATACATTACAGGACTTGGGTAGGTAGATTCAGAGGGGTGGGAGAAAACAGTTCAGATTTTGATAACTTAGTTGCTGTAGATCATTCTCAACCTACAAGTTTGGCATTTGGTAAATCTGGATAAATCTGCCTTAATAAACATAGCAGATACAAAAGATAAGAGATCTTTTTGTAAGACCAATGTGCAGTCAGGCAGTTGTTTTGATCCTAGATGTTTCATACTCTCGGGTTTTGTTTTGGCATTAGGCTTTCAACCTGCCTCATCCATTTTCTTACTTACAAATGTTTTTGTTCAATGGTTGATTTACAGCTTTGAAACTCAGAGGAATGGACTCGTGTTTATCTATGACATGTGTGGTTCCAATTATGCCAACTTTGAGCTGGATCTTGGCAAGAAAGTCCTAAACCTGCTGAAGGTAAGGCTATGGAGGGCCCTCTCAACTTTCCTTCAATGCTTGGGATTTTTTTTTTTTTTTTTTTTAATTATTTGGGAAAAGATTTAGGAAAGATGCAAACTTCAGAAATTATGTTCAATGTAAAGGCCGTCTGTAAATGATGACTACTCTCTGCTTCCATAGAACAAGAAATGACCTTAAAAGTGAAGTGGGAGAAATTAAGGTAAAAAATGCACAGGAACAGCTGGGCATGGTGGCTCATGCCTGTAATCCCAGCACTTTGGGAGGCCGAGGTGGGTGGATCATGAGGTCAAGAGATCAAGGCCATCTTGGCCAACATGGTAAAACTCTTCTCTACTAAAAACACAAACATTAGCTGGGCATGGTGGCGTGTGCCTGTAGTCCCAGCTACTTGGGAGACTGAGGCAGGAGAATCGCTCAAACCTGGGAAGTGGAGGTTGCAGTGAGCGGAGATCGTGCCACTGCGATCTCGAGACAGAGTGAGTCTGGCAACAGTGTGAGACTTCGTCTCCAAAAAAAAAAATCCACAGGAACATTCTGAGTCATAAAAGTGGAATGGGCCGGGTGCCCTGACTCACTTCTGTAATCCCAGCACTTTGGGAGGCTAAGGCACACTTATGTGTATAAGGTGTATATGAAACATACATGCCGGGCGCGGTGGCTCAAGCCTGTAAT